CTTCCATTAAAACTTTATTAGGTAGCTCTTCCACTTGAGAGCTGTTTCGCTTACTCCCAGCCAAATGAATTCCAGTCATTGAAAGCTAAACATGGAAATTCAGGAGAAGGAAGCAGAAAGCCACCTGCAGTCTTGGAAAAAATGGGGAAAACCAGGAGTGGTGGGTTCAGTGACCTGTCTGAGAAGATGCACATAGCTCAGTATGGAATCCTGGGGCAGAGATATATATGACAGGACAGGAGTACAACAGCCAGCATGGGAAACCCTTTGTTTCTTGGCAATTGAAATCTGCAAATGCGTGTCTCCCACTTCTACATCCTGCTGATTTCTCCTGGAGTCTGTTATAATCATTGGGAGCACCAGACATCTGCTTCCTTCCATGGATGTTGCTAAGGCTACTGGTGGGCTGATTGATGTGTGGTTACCACCAGAGAGCAGCCCAAGTGGCAGCAGCTGACCTTCTTAAGAGCATCTGTATCACTCCTCACCTTCCCTCTGGCTTTTTGCTGTGACCTTTGGATACAGATTGATCCCAGATTAGTGTGTGTTAACAATAAATACCCTAAAATTAGGCTACAAGTAGACAAGTTCTGAAAAGGTTAGATGAGTTCAGGGTAAGTTAGTGCAAGACTCTGGTGGTTGCTCTGTGTGGTCTATTTTCCAAGCGTGTTTCCCACTCCTATTACCTGTGATTCCAAAGCAAAACCAGCTGGACAGCCCCAGGATGGAGGAGCTGTGGTGAGGCACCTGAACCTTCTCAGCTGCGCTGCACAAAGCCCTGATATAATCCAGGGAATGAGCTATAACTTATTCTTCTGGGCACTCAATGGTGTGTTGATGGAACTAGTATTTTGCCAAGCAAAGATGGGCAAATGCATCCAGCTGTACGGGACTGGCTTCAGTTCATAAGTGGCAGGCAAGGTTTTTCATTTTCCCTTGAATATTGTCCTCCCCACTCCATTTGTAAACTTCTGGCTGCACAAATGCATCAGAGTACACTTGTATGTGTGTGTGTGTATATCTATACATATGAGAGATAGAAGCTGTAGGCCATGTAACAAACTAAATTTGTACCTAGACATTGTACCCGGCCACGTAGGAAAGCCTGTAGAGAACATCACTATGAACTGCTTAAATACAAACTTTCATCCATACCATCAGAAGTATTTTGTGCATCATTTTTGCAACATCTTCAAGTGTTCAGTAACAAAGAGAAAAAACTCTGAAGGGAAAATTAACGGTGTCATGGGTGATATAAAGCTGCATCAGTACCTATGAAGTGCCCCAGCAATACGAGAGAATTGAAGTAATGAACAGAAATGCTCAGTTAGAGCTTTTTCCATATTTTATGTTAATCATCAGGGTAGAGCTGAAATTAGCTTTAATTGATATTAAGGGTTGAAAAAATGAATCCTCTGGAGAATGGGTCTCTTTAACCTCTAATGATGCAGTAAATAAAATATGCTGTCAACATTTGTGCAGTGCTAAGGGCTTTCAAACTTCCATATCTGTATGGTGAGAGATTCAATACTCCTCATTCTCTCCATTACAGCAGTTAAAAGTGATGTCAGGGTGTAAATTCAGCTACAGGTTTTCCATGTTTCCAACCTATCTGTCATAGCCTGATAATTCCCCCATGCTGATGTGTTAATTCTAATAGGGAGATGGAGAGAGGAACGAGTGAGAGGTAAACAGATTCTGCATGCTGGCTCTGTCCCTTGTGCACCTTCTGACCTGTAGGCTTCTGATGCCAGAGTATCAGTAGAGAAACTGTGCCTCAGCAGTGGGTAAGGTGAAAAGGAGTGATGCTGCCTATTCTTCCTTTCAGGTGAAATATGCCCCAAAACGTTTCATTTTTCACTTTAAAGGCAAGGTGGAATTGCAAAAGGCTTCAATACTTACGGGACGCTTAGTTTGGTAATAGTCAGACCATTCTTCTATCTGTCAGGACTCAGTCTGGTATTGAAACACCTAATAACCAACTTGGTGAAGCGCATGAAATGTTCCTCTGCTGTAAGCAGGAAACCTGTTTTTCATAGAATCCATTTGATCATTGCAATCAACTGGAAGTATTACATCATTTGGGCAAGCTCCTGTAACACTGATGGTTACTCTGCTGTAGTTAACTGAGAAACAGGAAACAAATCTCCCCACTTAGAACCCTCTTTGTCTTTCATCAGGACTGATACAATAACAGTTCTCATGTTATAGGATATATATCTCTTTTGGAAAGTTCCTAGCAAGCCTTTCTGTATTAAGGGGACCATATTTCTGCATACTTATAGAAGTCTTCCTGAGCGATGCTTGTGTTTTACCAGGGTGTGAGTCCATTAAGCCCACACAGTGATCCAACAATAACTTCTCTGATGAGATGCAGCTGTAAAACTTTGGGAAAAGCATATTTAAAAAAAAAATGCTGATGTTACATTGATTTTTATTTTTTTTTTTCTTAATTTTTTGTCTGTATTATGGTTTGGAAGGATTTAGGGGAGAAAGAGAAACAAAAATGCCCCCAAAGTTAACTTCCAGCTTGTATTGTGTTCGGAAGCTTTCTTCTGACAAAGACCCAGCTATCCTGGGACAGTCCCAGGCCTGTTATGGGTGTGTTGAAACATTTAAAGGAATCAGTAAGGTCTAGATAAAATAAACAAGTTTTATCAGTGAAAACCTTCGAAAGTCGAGTTAAGCAGCGATAGGGCTGGTTTAAAGAGGAAACAGCCCAATCAGCTGAAAACAAATGTGGTGAATGCACAGCTACTAGGACCAGCAGACTCCTGGCCAAGTTACATCCATTTCTGAGGGACAGCCAGCAAAGCAATGGAAAGTGCTGGGAATGAAGGAGGCAGCCCTTATAAGCAAAGTAATTTTATAGTGTTAAGACACAGAGGATCTAATTTTCCTCTAGAAGACTCATTACCATGATTTTGTTACACATTATTTATGGGCTGTTATGATAGTCCTGGCAGGTCATAATTGGCTGAAGCCAGAGAATTAGTCACATTCTTCACATTTGGAAGAATGATCTGCACAGTTACGCTAATGACTTCATTCCCGGAGATGCCATGAGCTGGGCAGGGACTGCCTGTGTTGGGCTATGGCTGGATTAACTCCTCCTGGTTCTGAACACCGTGCAGATTTTGTTCATGAGCTACCAAAATGACCTCAAAGCAGCTGTTTGGCGTGTCATCTGCTGCTTTCATGATGGTTTCCCTTTTCCTTCCCTTTCCTTGAATCTGGACTTGGTTTTGGTTAGCCCTATTTTTCTATAGGGGAAAGGAATTCTTCAGCTAGTCTGACAGGGACATTGCACTCTCTCCATCAGAGCTGCTGCAGCATTACAGTGGTAAGACTGACCCATCTCTTCTTAACCTCTGACAAGAGATGAGCAACAGTTTAAACTGAGGAAGGGCTGTAGTGGCAGCACTCCTAACTGTGCCTTGCTGTGTACATAACAAAACCCAAACAGTTCTTCACAGATGATGAATCAGAAGGGAGCACTATAATTGTTTTATGTGCCTTTTGGGACAGCACAAGCTGCTTACTCTTGAATTAAAGGCTGGTGAATGTTGCTGTATCTTCCTGAAAAATGGATGGCTTTGATTTGGGGATTTCCAGTGATCGGGAATCCCCTGCACTGTTGGCTGGCCACTCCCAAGCCCCTTGCCCTTGTTGTTAAAGAGTGGGTATGAGTTCTTGAACAAATGTGTGTTACGTTGGATTGAGGCGTTTGGGTCATGTTGCAGCTTTATCTGCTAGGCTAAAGAGAAAAGCATGTGGCTGGGGGGGAAATTATAGACCATGATTTGGAAAGTATTGCTGGGAGAGAGTTAAGGGGTGACTTGGTCTGGTTTTCAGCTCCTCTAAAAACCTTTTCCATTTTACTAGCATCCTTCTTGGTTTGTAGGTATCAGACCAGCACAATATACTGGGGTTAATTGGCATGTGAAATTCAGATCTTGGAAACCTCCCACCTGCTTTTGATATTCCCTGTTTATATGGTCAGGGATGGCAAAAGTCCTTTGGTCAAAGCATTGTGCTGATGGCAGGACTGGCCCATAGGGCCCAAGCCATAGAGCAAAGCTGCTCGCAGCTGGATAACATCTTACCACGAGCAATATGTAAACCTCATTTATGGCTCTGGGAGGCAAGGCTCAACTAAAAGCTGTGTCCAGACAATTTCCCCAGGAGCAGTGGCCCTCCTGCAGTGGCTCCTGCTGCTCACTGCAATTCATCCTGTCGCTCCAGCATGGAAAAGGTTTGGCTGATGCTGAACTGAAGGCAACCTCTTAATCAAACTAAGAGGTGGGAGTTATAGTGTTTGTAAAATACGGTACAAATGGGAGGGTTTGATCACATTAAATGAAGGATCAGATTCATTAAATTAAGTGGAAAGCAATGTACATGGATAATTTCAAGGGTTGAGGCTGAATACGGTTTTTAAATAGGAAGTGATCAGCTGCTATACACAACACAGAGCAGCTCTCAAACATTTTTAATGACAGTATTTGTACACACTTTAGTTTAATTAACACATGGCACAAGAGAGGTTTGGTAACTAGGATGTAGTCTCACACCAGTCATCTCAATTATAAAGCATGAAATTTCAAGCATCAGTACACCAAGAACGTCACCCATCCCTGCCTCACAAGGTCTAGTAACTTGAATTTCCATCACACCTTGTTTCTCTTGGATGCAACAGTAATTCCTTCTCTCCAGATGGAGAAGTTCCCTTAGAAGTGGATGATCAGCTTCTGATTTGGATTTATTTCTTGTTTTCTGCAATCAAAATTAAGGAGACTGTGTATTGTCACTGCCCAGTGATCCACATTACATTTCTGACAGCTATGTTTGTTAGTAAATATGTAGTAATTGCTTCCAGAATTAACTAGAGCTGCTTTTCAGTGTCTGTACGTGTAGGAGAGATTTCCTGTGATGTGTGATCCCTTTGCTAGCACAGCTCTCATTAGACACTGGAGAATTGTTGCAGACACAGCTGGGTCTTATGCCTCTGTTGATGCAGTGTTGGTCCGGGGGACTAACTTCAGAATAATTGGATTCTTTGGTCTTAGGAGTCCCTGTGAACTCATCTTGAGAGGGATCTGCAACAATAAGAGGAAAAACATGCTTGGAGATAGACAAATTAAATAAGTAGAGATTAAAGGAAAGAAACTTGGCCATAGTTTGGACAGAACTTAATCTGAAGTGCCTGAAAATGCACCTCCCTGAAGGTGCAAAGCATTAGCACCTGTTGGGAGCAACTAGGCACCTGGCTTTTCACATGTGAGTTTCAAAACATAACATGCTCCTCACCTCAGTTTCTTTGCAGGTCTGGAAGGTGAAATGTTGCAGTAGGATGGTGATGGCAGTCTTCATCATCAGGAGAGCAAAGCGCATCCCGATGCAGTTCCTGGGACCAGCTCCAAAGGGCAGGTATGTATATTGGTCTATGCCTTCTTTGTTTTCCTTAGTGAATCTGGAGAATGATATAGTTGGGGAAAAGAAATGAAGACAGAAAAAAAAACCCCAAAAGCTACATATTTGTATTACTTATCCAGAGATCTCTCGCTGGTACCTTACAAAGTCTTGTTTGGCTTTTTGCTAAAGTGTCTCCAGGGTATCCCAGCAATTGAGTTCTGTGTCAGAGCTCTTGTGTAGGACAGGGTGGGATCCCACTTAGGTGATTTTAATTATGTCCATCTGGACTATTAGAAGTTGGAAGCAAGGTGAAAATCTAGGCAACATGCTCTCCCAAATCCCATATTTAGCAAGAAAGAAACCACAAGCCATCTTGGTTAGGAGCAGCATATGGCTTCAGTCTTGCTGGGTATGGGAGGTAGATGCCAATTATAAAAATAAGCAGCAAGAGAAAAGTTACTACTGCCTTGAAAACAGGAGGGAAGGCAACTCTGGAAGGATCAGCTCTGGTTGATCCTGGTATATTTGGTAGCAAAGCCTGTGTGAAGGAAACAGGCTCAGCAATGGGTAGCAGTCACAAAAGCTCAGCAGCTACTCTGTCAGCAAGCCTAAAAACTGTGAACAAGATGTTGTGAGATATCAATGTCATTCTCCCAATAAGATTATGTTGTTTGAAACCCTGCTTTAAGTACAAAGCTCATTTTCTTCAAATGACATTCCCATGAGTCTGCAATTTCTCATTGGTATTGTTTGTAAAAAGATAGGAAGAACACCATTAGGAAGCTAATCAGAGATTAATACTTAATTACCACATGAGGAAAAAGAAGCATGATAGTTCTTCCCTTTCGTTATGCTTTTTTGTACCTTTCTGGTCTGAACTCCTCTGGGTTTGGCCAGTACTCGGGGTTACGGTGCAGGGTATACGGTGGTATCATGACAATGGTTCCTTTGGGAATGGTCACTCCATTTATTTCTACATCTTTCTTGCAGGTTCTCTCCAGCCGTCCTCCAATGGGAAAGAGACGAAGGGTTTCACTCAGTGCCATGTCAAGATGTTCCAACTGCATTATTGCTTCATAAGTGAGAGGAGCCTGTAGGACAACAGGAGAAAGGTGACCGGGTATGTTGGTATGAGGATTGGATTGTCCTAAAACAACTACTGAGACCAAAATGTCTCATTTTAGGATTGTCCTAAAATCACTACTGATCCCCAACCCCTACTGCCCCAACTATGCTTCAGACTCACTGAAGAACAAAATGCAAGATAGACATTGCAGAATTGGTTTCATTTTCCATCCTTGAGTGATGGCAATGCCTGGAAATCCACGTACACTTGTGCATGGGTGCAGAGTATGGCAAATAGGTTTGTGCAGTGGGGGTACCGGGAAGCTTTCAGCTGTGAAAAGAAAATCACTGCAGGGCTGAGTTGTCTCTGTGTGCCTGATCCCAGGGAAGAGTGGTTAGGAGTTTAAGATTTCTCATTGCCTTCACTGAAAGAGGAGGACAGCAGGGTCAGAGGGTTTTCTCCATCACTCAACAGCCCCTTACCTTGTTGGGTAAAACGGTGTCTATTTCATCCAGCAGTTTTTGCTGCACATCGGGATGTGTGGCCAGTTCATATGCCAGGTAACAGAGCGTGTTGCTGGTGGGCTCATACCCAGCAAATAAAAAGATGAATGCTTGCGACAGGATTTCGATGTCGGTCAGGGCTGTGAGGAGAGAGGACATGGGGAGATGAACAAGAACGGTGTTGGCTGATGGTCTCAACAAGGAACAGGAAGCCAGAGGTGGGGTTGAGGCAGGTTTGCTGGGGTTGTTTTCTGATAACATAGAGTTACTCTATCTGTCTGGAAAAAGTCATTCGATAGAGGAGCCATATGATTTCCTGGGATTGACATGGCAGTCCTACTTCCTGGCAGAGGACGTGGGGGATTCCCCTCAGTCCCCGTGCTGGCAGCAAGGGACAAAGACTCTGCCTGGAGCTGGTCAGTAGAGATGATGGTGACCCATTGAGCCTTTCCCTGGGAAACAGCTCTCCAACTCCACTGACTCCCATAGCCTCTGTTACTGTGAAGAGTATTTAGGTATTGTTACCTTTATATGAGTGATTTGCTTCGTTGCTCCCATGATTGTTTGAGTGTTGGGATTCGATCATCAGTTGCAGAAAATCTACTCTGCCCTGAGAAGAAAAGCAGGAGAATTTCTTTTAGTGCTGGGTCCCTCGGAGGGCTCACATAAGCAGATTTCATAGCCTAAGCACAGTTGTTGAACTGTAAGCATCCTCAAAATGCACACGATTTTCCCATTGGAAAAACATAACACTTGCTTGTTAGTTTGGAAACGTGTCTGTCCTTTTTGTGAAGCCATTGGGTGGGAAAGCAGGGTCTTGAATGAATTTTTGGAAAGGGATCCAAACTCAAAAGGCAGAACTTTGCCTGTAAGCAGCTTCAACATGTGAAAAGCGAGAGGGGAAGGCACAAACCTGACAGCTGGTATTGCTGCTCTTGTGCTGCTTACTCTGCTCTCTCTCATCCTCTGCCTAATGATCTTCAGGGAGTCTCTGACTGATTACAGGCTCTGCAAACCTGAGCTTAGCCCAATTGTACCAAGCCTTTTTCTGGCTTTAGCTTCAGATCAATGTGCAATGTCCACTTGCTGCTCTGCCAGGACTGCTCAGGTGAGGCTTTTCTGACAGTATTGGAATCGGGTGTTTACACTCGAGTGGATTCAGTGGGTTCAGTCATTGTACTTTGGCTTCACCTTTGATATCATTACCCTAATTATGTTCCACTTAAGTGTATTTCCTGGCACAATTACTAGCACATTCACACTCGCTTACCTTGTGAGCCTCCTTTTCACGATCCTGCTTAATCTTGGAGAGGGATCTCATGAAGAAATCTACAGCATCACCAGGGAAGAAGCTTACATTCATCTTGGCCAAAAGAGGAGTAATAAATGGGCATACAACTGAGAGGGGGAAAAAGAGAGTAAAATTGCACACTGTAAATAAACTCTACCTGATAAGATGGCTATGGGTGTTACTGAGGAAGTAATGATGCTACTAAAACTATTTCCTTCCTTGATTCTTTACCTGGGAGAAGTCTGGACTTTGCCTTTTTTTCCTCTTTCTCCCTCCCTTGGGATTGTTTGTCCTGATGCAATCCTCTCCCAATGGGCACAACTGAGCTGGGTATAGTCATTGCTTTAAGAGATACCAAAGCATATGGCAACTTCTTTTTCTAAGGTACTGTTTTGTAAGGACAGGTTACTTCTCTACATTGTACAGCACCACAACAGGAATGTGGCTTAGAAGAGAAACACTGCAAATCCTGAATTCTGTTTTCAGGCTGAGCTAGTCACTGCCATGCTGTGCTTATACAAACATTTTCAAGTCCCCTCCAGAGCACTTCCCTAATTGTAGAGACTAAATTTTGAGCTCATGTGTAGCTTCAATACAGCACCAGAACCTCCTCTATGCACAGATCACAACTTTCCCTGTGTTTTAGCAAGGTATCTAATCTTGATTTAAGGTTGCGAGTGATTTAAGGTCCATCACCATCACTGTTAAACTATTTCACTGCTAGAAAATTGCATCTAATTACAGTCCCCACTCAGCACTCTCTTCCAGAAAATGCATTTCAGATGGCACCACTGAAGCCTCACAGCTCCACTTGCTTTTCCACCCTTGAATCATTTTCCAGCACTTATTTGGATGTTGGCTGGGATGTTCATGTGTTTCTTGCATTGTGGATGCTGAAGGTGGAGGAAGCTTTTACCTGTCCCCTTATCAGAGTTTTAGCATGAAGCTAACAATGAAGAAACAAGAGCTATTAGAACTTCCAACCTTGCTAGTTAAGTTATCGAAACAATAGTTGATTGGTTAATGTATAGGATGCACCAGTCTCTAATATGCTAAAGCTGCACTTCAATAGTATTCTGACACCTGAAGGAAGTTTTTAACCAAAAACTCTCACATGTCAAGATGAAGAGTGGGTCAAAGAAGTCAAAGGTGATCAGCTTCTGCATCTCTCTCACAAAGGGGTCTTTGGGGTTGTTCATGGAGTCAATGTTCACACCAAATGAAGTGCTGGTGACAACATCCATGCTGTAGCTTCCAAAGAATCTGAGGAAAGATAAAAGAGATACTGTGCTAAGTATTTGGACCAAGTGATGTATTTTTTCCTAATGCTTATGTGACATTCAAATATAAAGTCTCCTGCCCTGGTTTTGAAAAAGGAATTGGATAGATGGTAACTGAAATCACTTAGAGTGAAAGGGACAGGTTTTGAGAGCTTTGGTTTCAAGCCTGTGTGGGTTTTGAAAGGGTGTAGCTATGTGAATGGGTTAGTGTAAGGACAGCATGTGGCTCTTGAACATGTTAGCCTCTTGGGAGGGATGGTAACACACCTTGCTTCAAATATGCCATGAAATGCTCTTGTTCAATCCAAAACAGCTCTATAATAATACAAACTATCCAAGCCCTCTCCTTATGGGAATTTTTTGGTAGGGGAAAGCTTTGCTTGCATGTGTCTGCTGCTTCTGCATTCGTGCTTTGAAATTGAGGGTGAAATACACAGGTTTTGTTTCAGAGCCCATATGGAGGGCACGGATGAGGATGGGGCAAATGTGGAGCAGCATCCAACAGTGTTGTGTGTGGGGCAGAGGCACCAGCAATCCCAGTGTCCTCCAGTATAATAAAGTAATGCATTGAGATACACAGGGGAAAACTGGATTTTCCTGGCAGATTTGGGGTTACCTGGGATCTGTGGATCCACAAAACTGTTCTGGAGCATTTTTCTCCCTATCTAATCTGCTTTCAAAGACTTCTCTCTGAGGGGGTGCCTCTAGAAAGTTTCACTAACACCCCAGCTTAAGTTTTCTCATTCAAAATCCAGCCAGGCTTTTGGCTAGCCCCATTCCTCATCTCAGAGGTCTGGTTTACCCGACGAATGAGCTGTGTTGCCAATAACAAATGAAGCACAGCACTTGCTAACAAGGTTTGCTGCAGTCTGCTGCTCCTAGGAGCTACTTACTCCTTTACAGGTAGAGCATTGTTCTTTTCCACTTGCTTTTGGATATTTTTCACCAAAACTTCCCCATAGTCTTTCATTATAGGGAACATCTGTAACACAAGCCGGATATGGTCAGGTAAGTAGAGTACATTTTACTCCTTTAAGACAGGCTTACAAAGGCTATATGGAGTTTCATGCATATTTACAAACATGATCTTTCTGCTAAGGTTTTATTTTAAGCCTTTTTCATTTTAGATTAGGCATAAATTAAAGAGGCCAGCTTAGTTGCCAGGCTCTGACTGAAGAAATCAGACTCCTGTGACAATCTCAGCCTGATAACACTGTCTACTGACTTTCTGATTTAGTTTGTACCTGCTTCTTTGTGTTTTACCTCCTTTAGTTTCCCACTGGTGAAGGTTGGAGAGAGCACAGTACGAATCCTTTTCCACTGTTCATCTTCGGCTAATGAGATGGCATTGTTCAGCACCCCTGCTAGATCTGCACGCTGGAGGGGAAGAAAACAAAGTATTAACCCCAGGAAAGATAGCAGCTTCCTAGCAAAGATGGGAATGTAGCATGCAAGTCCCTGTCTAGGCTGTTTCAGGGGCTTTAGTACTGGCAGCAGGCTAAGGCCTTATAAACAGCCTCTCTCAAGACACACATACATAAATATTCCCCTTTCCTGCAGTAAACCAGCTGTGACATGCCATTTCTGTATCCAGACCAAGTAACCCAACAAGCCCAACATCCATATGTATGTATTGTCTGTACACACACCTGACCGTACTACCTAGAGCCTGCATCCCAGCTGTGGCACATGTGCTAACTGGACCCTTACAGGTTCCTGCATGCTCACACAGATTCAAATTCAGCCATTATATACGTAAGTATGAGAGCAAAATTTGATGTGCAGGCAGCCGGCTTCCTCTGCCAGCCTGGGTATGCGGTCCCCAGGCTGTAAGGCAGGGGAACAGTGACATACAGTGGCCGTTCACAGTAATCCCTATAGTGCAGTCACTCATCCCCTATGGGAACCCTGCTACATGCTTGTCTCCTCCTGTACTTTATTTTCTGGGCTCTGTGGTACATCATGATGCTTCTGCTCTTACCCTCCGGTTGGTAAAGGTGGAGTAACACTCTTTAACCAGCACAGATTTAATCATTTGGGGGTCCATGACAGCCACCACAGGTTGCCTGCCATCATAAATCCTGGCGGGGAGAGGAGACAGATAAACAACCCCAGATAGTTGAAGTGCGAAGCTTGCCTGATGCCCATGAAACAAAACGTGTTCAACAAATGCTTCTCCATCACCAGCTTTGCTGTTCTGCAGATGCCCAAGTACAGAAATGTAGGAAGTGGACATGGAAAAGGACTCCCAGGCCTTCTCCCATCTGGTTTTGTAGATAAAGGGGGCTAAACACCTTCCAGATTCACTGAGAAATGAGAAGGGCTCAGTCCCTCGAAGGACTAGATACTAAATGAAGCAAGTGTCTTCACTTTCTCTCCTGACTCTCTGTGGTATTCCAGGCACTTAAACACATTACAGTATTAGAAGGAAACTTGTTCGACCCCTTTCAGGCTCTTGAATTGGGTGTCTGGAGACTTGCGCTGACAGCACTGAAATATCCTTGGAGATGAAACTCAATCTTTGTCTTTCTAAGCTGCCAGTTCTGGATGCTTTCCTAGAACAGATGTAGATTAAGTGGATTTATGCACTTTCCACATTTATGTAAAGATCTCTTTTGCAGACTCCATTTTTAAAGTTGCAATAGGGACCAATGGACGCATTATGGACAATACACAAGTTCATAGCCCAAGTTACAACAGCAGCAATAAAAGCCATAGGAGATGTCCAGAGCAGAGCAACAATAACTGCTCTAGGTCCCACCACAGCAGGTAAGGACCAGCAGCACAAGGAAGTTGGTAGACTTTGGATCTGCTTCTTCACTTAGTATTTAGAGTCACTGATGTTCCTCTGCTGTTGGTAAACCAGAGGAACCTGACCTCCTGGTTCTAGATTCTCCCTTAAATAAATAGTTTTGCTGCTGGTTTTGTTAGGAGCAGGTGAGTGCCTTTTGTTACCAGCTTTAAAACACATTTCATAGTATACGTCAAAGCAATTTCCATATAGCATGACGGCAGCACAGCCCTGCAATCATCAGGCTTTAAGCCACCACAAGCATCCTATTGTTGCTGCGCTTGTCATGCTGGGACCGTCAGGGCTGCAGGTAGAGAAAAGGGAACTTTTGTACTGAATCTCTTCTTCCCTTTGTATGGACTCTAGTTTTACCTTAAGAAGAGAGCAGTGGTTCATACTCACCCCCAGACTTTCCCGTATTTCTGAAAACATTCATTGTCAAACTCAATGAAACCCTGTGAAAAGCAATTTAAAAATTATCTCAGGGACGATGCAGTGGAGGGGATGGTGTTGGAGATGGTGCGTTGGGAGGAATATCTGTAAAGTGATGTTCAAGGCTGCCTTCTGAGTTCTTCTCCTCTCTGAAAACATCATGAAGGACAGCGTAAATGTACACTGTGCTTTTGAATGAGCTGTTTACCAGGATGCTGGCAAAGGGCAGCTGTAAATCAGCCACCCATGAGTGCTCATTTGGTGATGCTGTAAAGACGAGGCCCTGTGGTCTGTGTTGTTGTGTCCTGATCCCATACTGGCCTTTGCACTTGTGCTTTAGAGCAGTGCTTGCCATTTGGAGATAACTTATCACCACCATATGTCCATTTAGCTACAGCTGATGAGCAAAGGCAGATATTTCTGGAGCCAGGAAGGCTTCTGTCACTTACTCTACGATATTCCAGACACGTCCCAAAGAAAGGCAGAGGTCTTGGCCCAGGAATACCCAACTTCTTGAACAAACCAAATGGCCAGGTCCCGTATCTGTGGGACAGAAAAGACAACCAGGTGCTACATCACAGTGGCACTGGGGCTGAGAGCAATCCTAAACCTGGAGAACGTAGCAACGTCCCTTTGGAGACAAGGTAGAGAAGGTTGATCCAGGAGCTGGGAAAAAAGTGGCCCAAAAGAAAGTTGCCCTGTACAAACTACTTAATAAACACGGTAAGACTCACTGCTGCCACACAGAGCTTCAGAGAGATCACTTTGCTGTAAGAGCAGCTGTCTCCTAAAGACATAGGTGCACTGGTGCGACCAGGACCTTAAAGCCTTTAGCAAAAGTCAAAAGAGGAGCTCGTTGCCTACCAAAGGAGAGACAGAAAAGAGAGCTGGAAGAAGGAACACCAAGCTTACATGTTTTTATTTAAGAGGAATCAAAGCAGTGCCAGAAGGGATGTTCCAAACCAGCTTTTGTCAAGCTAGACTTTAATTTCATTTATTGTTCTCCCTCCCTTAGCCCAGTGTTAGCTCAGTGGTGCATCAGGAAGTCTTGTCTTGATGGTTTTCTTTATAGGTTTTATTGACAGCTTTGCAGATTTCTTTCCTCTGAAGCACCCTTTTTGGAAGCTGTGAAGTTATTACTTCTACCTCAGGGCCTTCTGTTTCTCAGCAAGGGTCTGGGCTGTAGCCCTCTGAGGCTTGTCTTTGGCTGTGTTGAAAGAGCTCCTCAAAGTATTTGTTTTTATTTAGTAGCTGCAGCCTTCCAAGTAAGAGGCTCATTGCAGAAGGGAAGTAAACCTGCAAAGGTTTGGCAGAGGGATCCAAGATCCTCTTTGGGCCTCATGGCAGCAGCTGCTCAGCCAGCATCTTTGGGATGCTTTCCTGAAAAGCCAAAGTGTAGGCTGAGATTTGAGGGGTTTCCCTTGCAATTAGTAACACTTTTCTAGATCTGGGGGTCCACAAATGAGATCAGTCCTCACAGCACCAATTCTGCCAGAGCACAGAAGCAGACCTCATAGTCAGAATCATAGAATAGTTCAGGTTGGAAAGGACCTTAAGATCATCTAGTTCCAACCCCCCTGCCATGGGCAGGGACACCTCACACTAGACCATGTCACCCAAGGCTCTGTCCAACCTGGCCTAGAACACTGTCAGGGATGGAGCATTTACCATTTCTTTGGGCACCCTGTGCCAGCACCTCAGCACCCTCACAGTAAAGCCCAATCAGAGCAGGCAAAACCCAAGGAATGGAGTCTTTGCAGGTACAGAAAGGTTTCACAGAGCTCAGTTGGTCAATGTTCAACCTTTTCTGTCAGATGTTAATTCAGTACTAGATATAAAATGTTTGTGGATTCTCATTGGTAATGTTTATGGGCAGCCAGGGCTGTGGGAGGACCAGGAAATGCCAGGCTGGGTTGGGTACAAAGCCCCAGAACACTATAGGAATGTAGGCTAGGCTTAATCCATTTGAAACATGGCCAGAAAAACTCAGTCTAGTGCTCTTCTGACTGAAATGCAACATGGTTTTCTGCAGGCTAAGGATCATTCAGTGTAAAGCGAGAGAATAATCATTACAACTTCTTATCACGGAAGTGAACCAGAAATGCCTGATACTCTTCCATGGGTGAACTGGAACAGCGTTGCCCCAGATGGACAAGAAGCATCTGAAACACCTCCCTGTGCTAATGGGCAGTGAAATTTCTATTTTAGCTCAGATACCAGAGCAGAAGGATCTGGGCTACATCCCTTTTGCCGTAACTAACTTGTAAGTGGCTGCAGAAGGTGGGAGCCTGATAACCAGCAATCTTAGATGGCCACAGCGTTATTGAAATATGAGGGTTTGGGTCAAGAATGAGGGTGGATTTTTTTGAGCAGGTGGAGGGTTTTGTTGGTTTTTTTTTCTTAAGACTGCCCCAAACAGGCTCTGAGTGAGCAAAATGACAGGAAAAGGGTTTGAAAAACAGATCTGAAGAGTTTCAGAGTTTACTGAACTGCTGTGGTTGGAGCACTGCCAGGGCAGACAAATGGATTGTGCTCGTGTGTACCACATGAATCGTTAAGGTTTATGGCTAGCAACATGCTGTCTCTGCCTCAGGGCTTGTCAATACTACGGAGTTTGTCTGTCTAGCCTTGTTGGTAGGGCTTGCTAGCAGAGATGCTGTATGTCCCAGCAGAAGGGGGTTTTCAGCCAGCCCTGCTATGCTGCAGCACTGAATGGCATCAGCAAAGTGGAGGAAAGCATTTTTCATTATCACAGCTCCCCTGAAGCAGCAGGGTACACTTCAGACTGCCATGGTATGAAAAGCCTGGAGCAGGGAGATGACCTTGCCCCGGGCTTCGTTCCTTCACTTCTTCACACAGCAAGGGTAGGCTGTGGACTTGGGGCATGGGATGCTGTCCCTGCACCCGTGTGGCAGATCTAACTCCTGCAACTACCCCTTCTGGTCCAGGTGCCCGTGTGTGGAGCATCTTACATGGGCATTACAGAAGGAGTCAGGAGGAAAAAGAACTGATCTTATGAATGCTCTTTTACTAGTACCTTTCTGCTGCTCTCCACCTTTTCAGGTCATGCAGTAGGGTCATTTACTGCTTGCTCCCCTCTATAGGGCAACCTCAGCCAGGGAGGCACAGCCTTCCTTAAGCCATATTTCTGTGGAAAATGACCTATAGGAGCACAATCCTCACATGAAGCCAGCACCCTGCTGATAATGAATGCTTGGCACCATTAGTATTTGATTATTGTTTTGATGCTTAGCAGCAAAATCATAACAGTGCACAAGAATATTCCAAACCTTGAAGCAAGATCACACATCTATATGGTCCTTAGATTCTTCTGCTACTTCCCAGAGCCTAGTTAGAAGCTGAAAATCTGGAAATCAAACCTACCTGTTTGTTCTTCATCTGATGAGTTGCATAAAAATGAACAATAACAAGAACAGGAATATGGCATGAGCAAAGAACCAACAAAGAATATTTTACTCACACTAGCAGGAGGACTACAAAAACGAGCAAAAGGGCCCATGTCTCCACAGGGAAGGAAGGAAGAAGATTCATTTTGGTTCTTCTCTGGTTGGCTTTGAGTTCTGTCTTGATGTCTGTCCTAAGTCTTATGGGGAAATAAGAGTGCTTCGCAGCATTGCAGCTTTTTGTGTCCAACCATCTGATCTAGGGGCTGTCCTTCTGTCACAAAGGAGGAGGAGTAGAACACAGAGGTAGCAAAGTATGTGTCCTGGGTTCAGCTACAGCAGTCATTTTTTCTCCTTCTTAGTAGCTGGTGCAGGGCTGTGGTTTTGACTTTCAGTCTGGGAACAATGCTGATAACACCGATGTTTTTAGTTGTTGCTAAGTAATGTTTACTCTGACCAAGGACTTTCTCAGTCTCATGCTTTGCCAGGGAGGAGGGGAAGCCAGGAGGAAGCAGAGGCAGGACACCTGACCCAAACTGGCCAAAGGGGTATTCCATACCACAGCTTGTCATGGCCAGTATAGAAACTGGGGGGAGTTACCCGGAAGGCTGAGATCGCTGCTCGGGTCGGGCTGGGTATCGGTCGGCGGGTGGTGAGCGGTTGTGTCCTTTTCCCTTGTTATTCCTCTTATCATTATTATTGGTAGCAGTAGTGGTTTGTATTAGACCTTAGTTACTGGAGAGCTGTTATCTCAACTCGTGGGAGTTACATTCCTCCAATTCTCCTGCCCATCCCTCCGGGAGCGGGGGGAGGAAGGAAAAGGGGGGGAGTGAGCGAGCGGCTGCGTGGTTCCAAGTTGCCGGCTGGGCTTGAACCACGACAGTATGCTAATCTGAAAACCATTTTTCATGTGATAGATAAATGCCTGAGTAAACTGTATAAGGTTCAAAGTATTTAATACATATGTTGCTGAGCATTTCAGCTAGTTTCTTTGTTGTGATAGTAGGTAATAACTGACTTCTTATGATGCTCCTGGGCAACTACACCAAAATATATTAAACTAAGTTACAATGAAAAGGTAAATCCCAAAGCAGGTGTCAGAGTTTGTTTACAAAAGGGAAAGATGAAAAAGAGAAGTGAAAAGGTTATGCACATATTGGATGACAAGGTCTTTTCTGGCAGCTGAATTAACTTCGGCAGAATTCAAGATTTTGTTTAAAACATCTTTCTTTCTGTGATGTGAAGAGCAAACGCTGCCTGTGGTGGGTCAGAAGCAGCTTCTAACAAAGGCAGGAATTCGCCCCCTAGAAAGGCTTTAGAAGTAAGTGCACCTCGTTTGCTGGCTTGTGGACAGGCATTTTGTAACAGAAATACTGTTGTTCCACAGCTGTAAGCAGTTAAAGTACCACCATTTCCAAAACACCATATAGTGGCTCATAGATAAAAACAGCACCCACCCTGCTGCAGCAGCTGCAAAAAGAGACAGTCAAAGGCAAAACACAGATTTTGTGATGATTTTCCTGTAAGGATGGTGCAGGAAAGGGATAGCTTCCTAGGGGTATGGACACGCAAAGAGAAGATTATGTTGATGAAGAAAGCTGGGCTATTTGGATGGTGTTTGTTATTGGCCATAGTGTTAGGGCAGGAGGCTATATGTTTGCACAGATGAGCACTATAGAATCTTTAGTGCTTCATTCAGAACTCTAAAATGAGTAATTCCCAACCTACTGGCCGAGCTGCCATTGTCAAAGGGGTGTTTACTGACTGAACTGGGTGCAAATAACTGGGTGTTAGAGATACTCGGCATACTTGTCTCCAAAGCTCTTGCTGTGATTGATGCTGGATTGACTGATGAGTTGATCTCAGCCAACATGGTGATACAGGACACATCCTCAGAGTTACCATTTGACTTATCTCAGCAGCATTTGTATCACATTTCACCTTTGCCCGGCCTTTGCTCTGACCTTCAGAGACAACTCAGTTGCAGATTATTTCGTAATGAACACAGTTTACTTTAGTTTAACATGAACAGGCAAGTTCATGACATAGCCTGTGTCAGGTCCTACCTTTCTTGATTCAGAGATGTTGAAAGAGGATGTGATTAAATAGGTGCTTCTGCATTCAGGAGCTTATCATAGCAGTGATTGTTTTCCTTTGTGCATTTTTGACATAGCCTTGAAATCTGAATTTACTGGGCACCAAACGTTCTTGACTCACCATTTTCAGAACCAGGTTTTTGTACAGTTTATTCATGAAACAGGATTGCTGTAGGGCTTTTCATCCTCAGTAATAATAAGCTTCAGTCCTTGTCCTGTCTGAGTCATTTTTAAGGGTCAGAATAGTCTCTGGAAAAAAAACTTGTAAAATATACCCCAGATAGGTGCAAAGTCTTGCTGCTGGTTTTGCATCGTGATCTTATGATCTCTGCCAAATGGACTGTGCCTTTTGACTTCAAACAAACAAAATCCACCATCCCATTGAGAAAGCTGAAAGATAAACAGAAAGAAAGACCTCATGTTACTAATCCTTGCCAGAGGAAAGTCAGTGACCCAGGAACAAATGACCAGTTTTCATATGACATGTAAATCTAGCTCAGAGCTGTGTTTACCCTACATTAAAACTCTAAACCACCAGATCTAGGCTGTGGTACTCTCTAAGCTTCTAGGGAGTATGGCAAGCTAAGCCAGCACAATTGTCCCTTCAACCTAGCCAAGTCCTTTAGATGCATCTTACTCCTTGTCACTACCAGCTTTTAGGCCTATCCTCCTCTTGGGGACATTTTGAAGCACACTGCATCCCATCAGGGGTTTTGGGGAGCCCACCACCCAGGCATGTGGAGCAGAGGCATGCTGCTCAGGGGCACAAGAAGGTACAAGCCCATATGGAGGTGTAGTTATATATATATACATATATATATACACACACACGTGTGGGAACGCCCTGCTAGTGACACAGCTAGTCGCATTCATAGATGATAATGTCACACACGATGTACAGTGCATGGTGGATTGGCAATGCTCACCCTCATCATTTAGGCTGCTGCACTGTATGGTAGCTCCTGTGTTGCCACCGTGCTTCCAGGGTAGCCACAGGCTGAGGGTGAGAAGCTTAAAAAGCCAAAGTTTGCAGCAAATTTGGAAGAGAACTGAGCTGCTTTTCCACTTCTAATTCCCCTAAGTAGCTCAGATTAATGGATTAATAGCTTTCAGGAAAGCAAAGTAACATCATGCTGTTATTTGCAGTGTAATGAGGGGAGTGTTCCTAATCCAGGTTGTGAACAAGGTGTGATAAGCAGGAGGGATTTCTTGTACAATAATGACTGGGGGCTGAGCAGCAAAATGGAAGAACATGTATTTCTTCCATAAGCTGTGAGCCCAAATGACTCGGAGTAAGAAAAACACTGTGGAATAGCAGTTATGACTGGGGCACGGGTGAAGGAGAAAGCAGTTCAGAAGAGAAAGAGCTATTGGCACAGTGGGTAACATTTTGTGCTCGTGGTGAAATGGGCTACACAGGAGTAAGGAGGGCCAGGCTGGATAAGCCTGAATCTTTAGGTCTACCTCACTTTTGAGTACAGTCATGGAAGAAGTTCTCCTGAGATGCTTTGGGAATTTGTTTTAGATTCCCAGGGCTGGACAGCTTGTGGTAGAGACTCTACAGTGCTACTTGGGATAGAAATACTGCTGGGGAGTTGTACCATTATGGAGTAGTTTAAACTCTCTAGATACAGATCCTGAGAAATGCTACTAATCACGCCGAGCTTGGGTAATCTCTGTATGGGAGATGGAAGGTTTCTGTACTGGAGAACACCACACTGGCAAGCAGTGGAACTGGCTTAGTTTCTGTGTTGATAAGTAAATCAAGACAGTCTAGAAGAACATTCAAGAGTAAAACTTCGTTGGGCTGGACACAATCATTTAGTTTAACACAAGTGGAATTATAAACAAAAATAAGATTATAACTAAGGCTCTCTCTTTCAAGAGGACAAATTAATGAAACAAACCAGTGGAATATTTCAGACCCTTCAATGTAGACTGTGTCTAACCTCCTTTTTTAGTCCATGGTGCTAATGTTATCAGCCAGTTGTATGCCAAGAGACTTGCAGAACAGACTTTACACCCAACTGCCTGAACAGCTACATTAAAAAGGATGCTCAGAATAAACCAGCCAGACAAAAATAAAACAACCAATGAAACAATGGGTTTGTAGTTCAAGGTATACTGTTATATGTTCCAGCCATAAGATCTTCTGGGATGGGAGCTCATTTCTGCATCCAACACAGAGCAGCCCAGTGCTTGAACATACCAGCTCACTGGGGTCCAATTAGGGGGGGTGTCCAGAATAACAGTGGCACTCCTCACTCCCTTGGAGATGTGCCCTGAAAACCTCTGTTTGTTTACGCTAGCTAAGGGATAGCTGGGCTGAAAGGAGGTTGCTATGAGATAAATGCCAGGTAGAAGAGCTATTTAATCAAATTATGATGTTGGCGTAGAGACAAATGGATATAACCCAGCCACGAATAAATGCTGGAAATGAGCACAGTTGTGGCCTGGAAAGCTCAGGACTCTTCTTACCATGGGGTTAAAAGAAAGGAAAAAAGCTCACATAATGTAAAATGGGGCTAGATAAGACAGCTGGTGGGAGAAGGGAGCAATACATAAAATTTACCAATGCTCTTCTACCAGAGCAGTGTGAGGAGTTCACTTTCTGCATAAGCAGAAGATGTGAGGAGGCAACTATTTGTTTTCCCTGATACACAGTGCTTTAGTTACCCACAGGAAAATACTTCATAATGAAGGCTACTTTTTGTTGTCAGTGATGAAAATACTGATACACTGCTGCTGGACAAAAAATCAATGTATTTGGAGGAGTCTTTAATGATACTTTATGGAGTTCAGTGTATAGATGACTGATACCCTTCTGCACATAGATTTCCTTGGGATTTAAAAAGCTCACCCCAAAAAAACTCAACAAAAAGTAATTAATTCCCCTGGATGTTTTGTTCCATATATTGAGCTTTGGAACCACGTGGAAACTAGGACATTTTTTCTGATGTTTTTTTCAGTTAAAGTAACATCCCTGATATTTCTTCATAATCTTTACAATATATCATTATATTCCTTTTTCATTCTAAGAAAGGACAGCTCC